AACATAGATAGCGTCATCGGGGGACTATAATCTTGCATTTTGCTTGTTTTTGCTAAGATACCTCACATGCATAATATGGCCATTCTTGTAAGGCAACCAATTGGATTTACCCTAGGGGTGTTTGTGTGTAAGTGTATTGATTTTCATGCTTGATTTGTCTTTGATTAGGGTTTTTCTAAGCATTGATTTTAATCTTTCCATACAAATTCTAATTACTAGCATTGGTATATAAAGCGTTTAAATTGTAAAAATTAAAAAATACTAAGCTATTGCATCACTTAGGGGAGGAGGGTACAAGTTTATGAATGGGGATTGTAAGAAATTAAAGTCCTAATTATCTATTACAACCATATTGAAATAATGTACATGAATTGAAATGGACTTGTTTTGTTTTGTTTTTGTTAAGAAATTAAATTTACTTAAGAAAATATTTTGATCTTTTTTATTTTAAAAGAAATAAAATAAAAACATGTGAATATGAAATATTTTTTGGTGTTTTTGGTTATTAAAGACAAAAATAAGATAAATAAGAAAATGGAGTCAAAATCAGCACATTGCTGAAACGAGGAGGAACATAAGTTCTGACTTTGATACGCTGTAGGAGAGAAAATGTTAGTAGGCAAGCTGAAGGTCAGAAGTTCTGGGCCTGAGTACACCAAGTTCTGAGGTTGCTGGGAATAAAGGAAATCCTAGGAGTTCTGATTATTGAAGGGGTTCAGAAGCTATAGTGTAGTTGGGAACCTAGATGTTCCTATATCACTGGCAAGTCAGAAGTTCTGGCCATTTAAGAGAGTAAGGTGGCAATGTTGTTGGGTAAGGTTGTTTAGAAGTTTTGATTTAGGAATATTGTTTTCCAGATAAATAGGTGGAAAATGTCACTAAATAAACCTAAAAAGAGATACTTCTGGGGCTAGAACCCAGGACCCTTAGTACTAAAGTCTTATGCCCGCGCTTTCTACCACTGGGATGGCTGTACATCCGGTATTAGAAACAAGAGCATGAACATATAACATAAAGTAAGTTCTGATGATGAGCTTCATCTCTTTCTCTATACTAATCAGAACATCTGCAACTTAGTCATTTCTCAACAATAAACATAAAATACACACATAACAATTATGGCAAGTTTCATCATGGTTTCAGAAGTATAAAATATTAGAACTACAAATCAGAAGCAATCATGAATTTTGCTAATCCTAATTTTGAGTCCTAGTTTCCTCAAGAAGTTTTGAACGTAGATCCCATCTACTTAGGCAAAAATACATGAAATCTGAGTATGTACAGAATCAGAGCCATGATATCTACATTGTATCTTTGAAAATGCAAGCCTAGAAATGCCTAAGCAATAAGATACAAGTTAGAAGAAACTTACCTTGCTTTTGGAGATTGTTCTGAATTAGAGTCTGGTTCAGGTTGTTGTGATATTCTAGTCAGCTTTCTCATGTGCTCAGAAGGCTGGAACGATCTTTAACTTGAGCTAAGGAATGGCTGGAAAATTTTGGAACAACCAAGAATCAAAGTTCTGATTTTTGAAATGGAAGTTGGTGGAGATGCAATTGCAGTCTGTAAACATAAGTTGGGATTGTTTCTAATTTGGCCAAGAGATGTGAGAAAATTAGAGTTTGGGCGTGAAAAGAAATAGAAGCTTAGCAGGTTTTTGTGTTTATGCTTTTAGTTTCCAGTCCTTTGAAATTTCAGCAAGGTTTCAAGGCTAATTTTAAAATTCTTCCCCTTTTACAGTTTCAAATGAAGTTCAATTTATAGGCAAGGATTTAGTAGCTTGGAGAAGTCAAAAGTACAACCATCATACACTAGGCGCTGACTTGTTCTTGAAGCAAGTTCAAACAAGTAAGGTTCAATGCATAAAGTAAGGTGGTTAGCAGCTTTTAGCCGTGCCTAAGCTGGATTTGTAAGCCTGAATTAAGGAAAAGTACCCTCAGAGGAAAAAGCAAAGCATGGGCCCAACATAAACTTGTACAAAAGTTTGCTTTTCAAAGACAACAATGGTACTTCTATCTCACACGTGGGGAAATCCTTTGGATAAAAACTTAAAAGTGGTTATGAGCATTAAATGATGATGAGATTTATCAAATAAGAAATCCTGCGCTATGAGATTGTGCATCATAGCCTAGATCTGAGCCAGAAGTTCAGCATCAGCACAGCTTAGAACAAAACATCCAACTTCTGATCCTTTAATCTTCTCGCTCCAGCATGTTCTGAAGGAGTTCTCAGACTTTTCTGAAAGTTTGTAACATGCTTTGTAGACTTTCTTTGAGTTACTTTTGCAAACTTTGGCTGAACGTTTGTTAAAACTGGCCTAGAAGTTCTAATCAAAATCTGTCTTGAAAGTGTCCAGAATTTGCTGAGTGCTTCAGTTTCAGGGGCGTGTCTTTGAGGATTTATAACTTGAAATCCCAGCATTTCCAGGAGAAGTTCTGTTCTGCAATATTTTAGGTTTTATTGAGATCTAAAACTCGTGTGTTAGAAATTCTTCCAAAATCAGCTTGTGTCATGGTGATAATTTGATCAGAAGTTCTGAGCTTGTCATATTTCTTAAACACTTAGAAAAATTCTAAGTATTTTAGAATTTTGACTTTTGAATTTCTTGATGAAAGAAACTTCATATTTCAACATGTCTTAATTGAATATGACTCTTGAAACTTGATTTTGATCAAAAGTCAAAGTTTGACTTTTCAGTGTGAAAATGACCATTTTACCCTTGTGTCAATTCCAAGTCTAAATTGGTGTGTCAGTACTGCAAACTTGACGTCATAGAAGACCTTGTGAGAGAATCCTTGAGAAATGAGAGGGAAAATTTTGGGGTACAACAGTCGCCACCGACTTTTCTTTTATCCAATAAAGGAAAGGATGAAAAGAACATGAAAGATCTTTTGAGATATTCTTAAGTTCAGAGGGTAGGTTATGAAAAGGGAAGGTGTTAGCATCCTTTTCATCCGTAGTTATCTACGGGCTCTTAGTTGCTAGCTCACTTTTGAAATGCTTTGTTTGAAATGTGTTTGTGATGGGTTTTTTGAAAGTATTTTTGAAAGTGCCTTTGCTTAGGCGAACTTTGCAATGATTCCCATCTCTATAAGAATGTATACAAAGTGTTGTCTTTTGAAAATATTTCATTTGAAAGTGTTGGTGTGTTTTTGAGATGTTTTGAAAATGGTTGTGAGCAAACAACTATGAAGGGTCATCGAGGGACTACGATCTTGTATTCGAGGGTCATTGCTAAAGTCTCCCATGTTCAAGGGATATGACCATTTATTCGTAGGCAATAAGTGTGGATTACCCTAGAAGTGTGTGTGAATTGTGTTTTGATTGCATGCATTTTTGTCTTGAGATTAGGGTTCTTTAAGATTGATTTTATCTTGCCATACACACTCTAATTACTAACAATTATATTAAAATCGATAAATTGCAGAAATTAAAGTCTTATGCTATTACATCATTTAGGGGATGGGGATACAAATTATAAATGAGTATGAAAGCAATTAAAATCTAATTACTATTACAACCAAATTGAATATAAATAAATAGCAAAAAAGTCTCAAAAAATCAAGATTTTAGGTGTTTAGGCTGACACGGGCCGTGTCCTGTGACATGGACACCCATGTCAGGATCCTATCCTGCCATACATGCCTTTTTTATCCCAGCTGAGCTGACACGGACCGTGTTCCGTGACACAGACACTTGTGTCAGAATCCTGTCCTTCCATTTTGCTAATTTTAATCCCAGTAAGAGGGACATGGGCCGTGTCCTGTGACACTGGAACCCGTGTCAGAACAATGTCTTGCCATTTTTTCTATTTTCTTCCTGACACGGCCTGTGTCAGGTGACACGACCGGCCGTGTCAGACTTCTAGAAGCATTTTTCTGTAGTTGATTTGTCTTGAAAGCCTCTAGGTATGTAATCAGTCATACAACTCACTAGTGGCCAAACCCATCAATTATCGTTTACATTCAACTTAGCATTGTAAGACCGACACATACTTAAAAAGACTTTCCGTTTGAAAACTCACGACAAGCCTTTGGGGTATTTGTTTCAGGCCAGTCAAAAACTCAAATAAAGAAAGTCCATTGCTGCCCCAAAACATGGTTAAATGACTATTCGACCATGTGTATATATACTCCTACATCGTAAGGCTTAAGGTACACACACTTTTCATACTTCACTTTTTCAATTTTTGTACTCAAAAACTAACTTAAACATAAGAGTGTTAATCTTACATGTCCACCACCCCCGCGTTCAACTGCACTAGAGACTTACAACACCACATCAGAAATCTATTATTTCAATTAACGCATAATTCTAATACCAATCCAGAATAAAAATTACTAACATGTTTTCAAGGGTCCATTCTTATCTCTAAATGATAAAAACAAAGATATCAATTTCAAAGTATCAACAATTAAACTCTAATTCTATTAAAAAATCATAAATTATTTCAAAGATAACTAATCAATAAAAAACATTAAACACAAATAATAATAAATCATAATCATAACAATAATCTAAATGGTAAAATTAATTCAAAACACAAGAATATTCAATATCCTCATGAATTGAGAAGATCAAACATTTATAAATCTTTTAATTATTTTTAATTAATTGATGCCATAAATAATCCAAACTCAAAATCGAAGTTTCTTTAATAGCAATCGAGGAGCCAGTTCTTAAAATCCCATCCCCATCTCATCAACTTCTTCCAGATGCTTCTACTTATCCATTCATCACAGCTGGCATACGCTCCATTGCGTGTAACATTCATTGGATCCAAAGCCCCAACAAGCCTACAAAGCCCACTCCTAACAAAAAAAACACCAAAAAATCCACCCTTTATAATCTCACACACTTCCCACACGCGCACACACCACTTCAATCTATAACTCAAACCCCTAACTTCCTCCAAACCAAAACCACACTCTCATTTCCCATCTCCACCGCCGCACACAGCGGCGCCACCGTAATCCACCGTCTAATTTTTTATTATCGTAATGGCGGCTTCAACCACCACCGACGGTCCCGTCTTGAACCTAATCAACAAACGCCTCCGCGCTCTCCGTAAGAAACTCAACCGAATCACCTCCATGGAAGAATCCGTCTCCCAAGGAAAGCCACTCAACAAGGAACAAGAAGAAGTTCTCCGTTCAAAGCCCTCCGTTCTCGTCCTCATCGACGAGCTCGAGAAACTCCGTCAACCGCTTTCCGTTGCCCTAACGGAAGAACTCGACCTCGCTCTTCAGAACAACCGCGAAACCCTAACTGAGAATTCTGTTCCGAATTCCGTGAATTCCGCGAACCAGAACGAGGATGTGGTTGAGGATATTCTCAATTTGCTTTACTTTGGTTCGCTTTTTGAAGTGAAGACGCAGAATGATTTTACTTCGACTATGCTTACAAGGACGCATGAGC